AAAAAACATATCACTCCCACGGATCTTGTCAACAAGCAGGGGTTTCTATCCTAATATCAGATAAAGCAGACTTCAAGCCAAAGTTAATCGGAAGGGAAAAAGAAGGACATTTCATACTGCTTAAGGGAAACATACATCAACAAGGCATAACCATCATAAATATGTAAGCTCCAAACAATGGAGCATCTACATACATTGAAAAAACAACCTCTCAATTTCAAGAATCAAATGGACCACAAGACACTAATACTGGGTGACTTTAACACACCTCTCTCACCACTGGATATATCTTCTAAACAAAAACGGAACAAAGAAACTATAGAATTCAATAATACAATCAATAATTTAGACTTAACTGAAATATATAGAATAGTTCATCCATGAATGATTGAATACACTTTCTTCTCAGCAACACACAGATCCTGCTCTAAAATATACCATATCTTATGTCTCGATGCAAATCTTAGCAAATACAAAAAATAGAGATAATACCCTGTATTTCATCGGATCATAATGGAATGAAATTAGAAATCAATAACAGAATAAGAAATAGAACCTACTCTAATACCTGGAGACTAAATAATACACTATTTAATGATGAATGGATACCAGAAGAAATCAGGATTGAAATTTAAGAAAATACTTAGAGGTAAATGAGAATAGCAATACAACATACTGAAATATCTGGGACAGTAGAAGGCAGTGCTAAGAGGAAAGTTCATTCAATTGAACTCATTCATTAAAATAATAAAAAGTCAACAAATAAATGTCCTAACATTACATCTCAAAGCCCTAGAAAAATAAGAACAAATCAACCCCCAAAGCACTGGAAGACAGGAAATAATTAAAACCAGAGCTGAAAGCAATGAAACTAACAAATGAAACAATCCAAAAAAATGACAAGACAAAAAGTTGATTGTTTGAAAAAAATAAATAAAATTTATAGACCCTTAGCCACACTAATGAAGAAAAAGAGAAAACTCCAATTACAAAATTCATGATGTAAAGGGAAATATCACATTAGACACTACTAAAATACAAAAGATAATCAGACATAGTTGTGAAAATGTATACTCCAATAAAACAGAAAATCTTGAGGACATCAACAAATTTCTAGATACATGACCTACCTAAACTGAATGAGGAGGACATACATGATTTAAACACATCAATTTCAAGCAATGAATTAGGACATGCCTTAAAAAGCTTATCAACCAAGAAAAGCCCAGGATCCAACAGATTTTCAGCTGAGTCCTACAAGATTTCAAAGACGAATTAACACCAATACTTCTCAGATTGTTCCATGAAATAGAAAAGGAGGGAACCCTTCCAAACTCATTCTATGAAGCTAGTATCACCATGATAATAAAATCAATCAGAAACATCAAGTAAAGAAAACTTCAGACCAACATCCCTGATGAACATAGATGCAAAAATTCTCAATGAAATTCTGGCAAATCACATACAAAAATATTAAAAAGAGACTGCACCACCATCAAGTGAGGTTCCTCCAAGGCATGCTCGGTTGGTTCAACATATGGAAATCAACAGACGTCACCATAGAATCCTATGATCGTACCAAACAATGCTGAAAAAACATTTGACAAAATACAGCCCTGTCCCATTCCCAGCGACAAGAACACTCAGGGTCACTCCAGGGGAACTGGGCCACGTGAAATAATTACACTAGGGACAGAGATACCTTTTTCTTTGGGGATCCTGTGATGGCTCCTCTGACCTTAAGCATCCGCAGAAAGGGAGAGAGAGAGAGAGAGAGAGAGAGAGAGAGAGAGAGAGAGAGAGAGAGAAAGGGAGCTGAACCCTTTTATTGAGGAGAAGCCATTCAACCTAGGCAAGGGGTCAGGTTTCAGGGGGCTGAGTCTAGCTTCCTGATGTCCACTGTCAGCAGGCTGACTGACATCTAGGAAGGCCACACCCAAGGGCAGAGCAAGAGAAGGGGACACACAAAGGGCGTTTCCATGGAACATTCTATCCCAAACAGGGCAAGGGGGTAATATCACAAAGGAACAGGTGAGCGTAGGTTGGCCCATGAGGCTACAGGAAGACACGCCTATGCATGAAGACACATTCTGTGACATTTTGCCACATCCAAGATCGGGGCAGCCATCTAGGGCCATTTTGATGTGGCCAGATCACTTGGAAGTGACCGACAGAGCCTCAACCAATCAGAGAAGGAAAATGCTGGTCACACAGTGTGAGGGCCTCCCACACAGCACCCTTCATGTTCAAAATACTGGAAAAACTAGGGATAATAAGAACATATTTCAACACCGTCAAAGCTATGTATGCCAAGCCTGGCCAGCATCATTCTAAATGGAGAAAAACTGAAAGCCTTCCCTCTAAACCCTGGAAGAAGACAGGGATGCCCTCTTTCACCACTTCTATTCAACAGAGTCCTTGCTCTAGACAGAGCAATCAGACAGATGAAAGAAATTAAAGGGATATGAATAGGAAAAGATGAACTCAAACTATCACTATTTGCCCATGACATGATGCTATATATACAAGATTCAAAAAATATACCAGAAAACTTCTAGAACTAATAAATTCAGCAAAATAGAAGGATATGAAATTAACACCCATAAATCAAACGCATCCCTATACATCTGTGATAAATCCACTGAAAGAGAAATTAGAAAAACTACCCCATTTACAACAGCCTCAAAAAAAAATACTGGGAATCAATCTAACAAAGGAAGAAAAAGACCTCTACAATGAAAACTACAGAACACTAAAGAAAGAATTGAAGAAGACCTAGAAGATGGACAGATCTCCCACGCTCCTGGACAGGCAGAATTAACATTGTCCAAACGGCCACACTACCAAAAGCATTATACAGATTAAATGCAATCCCTATTCAGATCCCACTGACATTCTTCATAGAAATAGAAAAGGCAATCATGAAATTCATTTGGAAAAATAAGAGACCCACAATAACTAAAGCAATCCTTAGCAAGAAAAGTGAAGCAAGAGGCATCACAATTGCAGAGTTTAAATTATTCTACAGAGCTACAGTAACACAAATGGCCTGGTGGGGCTGGGGTTGTGGCCAGCGGTAGAGCACTTGCCTAGCACATGCAAGGCCCTGATTTCGATCCTCAGCACCACCTAAAAATAAATAAATAAAATAAAGGTCCTGTGTCCAACTACAACTGAAAAAATAAATCTGTTTTTTAAAATGGCATGGTATTGGCACCAGAACTGACAATGGTACAGACTCCAACCACGGCTCCTGATTACCTCATGGCTATGTACCACTGGGGACTTCCTGTGCGAAGGTGCAGTCAAGATGGCCCAGTTGCTATGGTCACCCTGGCCCGAGGATGCTGCATGCAAAGTGCAGAGCTGTATCAGGACCTTCAGCTCAGGCACCAGCTCCCCGGGATTGGCAATTCTGAGCATCACAAGATGACCCTAATGTCTCGACAGTCCTGCGCCTATCAGATTGCCTGCTTTGCAGAAACTTTCCCACAAATAACCTTTTCATAAAAACACTTTTTTTGTTGCAAATGGACCCAATACCTTTATGTACTAATGTGAAGCTGAGGATGAAACCCCGTGCCTCTCATGTACCAGGCAAGTGCTCTGCCACTGAGCCACAACCCCAGCCCTGGCCCCGGCTTTCAGTCTCAATGTGTGTCTGCCTGTCTTTTCTTCATCCCCCATCGCCCCTCGCCGGCTTCTGAATTCAGCATGACTGTGTGTGTTCCATACAGGAGGACACCTGTGGCTGCACCCACCCTCGGTGCTGAGTGGCATCAGGAAGGAAGGTGAGGGGGTTGCCCCTTACATACCACTGCTGTGCTTGATGTTCACAAGTGTGTGTGACGGATACAAGTAAGAATCAGGCACTGGGTCCCCCCCCGCCAAGTAAATATCCACCTGTGATCCAGGGCGACTGGGTGGGAAGAAGGGACCCAGCTGGGTGCTCAGACTCATGGTGGGGAGACCTGAAATGCTGGCACATGTTTTAATCACTCTGGGCCTTGGGGCCTCCAAAAGGTGCCAGAGCAGTTCACAGAAACTCGTGTGTGGGTCTTCCCTCTGCCAGGCAAGAGAGTACCCTCCCTCACCTGTCCTCCCTCTCTGTCCCTGTCTCTGGGCTGCTGCCCCTTGGTCCCCCTCCCTGGCAAGGCCATGGCTCCACCCTCAGTAGAAGAACCTTCTCTATTGGTTGCAGAGTCCCCCCATGAGCTGTGGCTGGCATGGCACTGGATGGAGGGGTGCAGAGCAGGGCCGGGCTGCTGTGTGCAGGGCGCTTCCCTGAGGGACCAGAGACAGTGCTCCCAGCCTGCTCAGCAGTCGGGCGGGTTCCCCAGTGAGCTGGGGGGGGCCTGCGGGAGGGTGGAGGGGACTCTAGCTGAGAGCAGGTGTGTGGGGGGTGTGCACTTGGCTGGGAGGTTCAAGTAAATGACTTCTCCTTTTTAATTTTAAATTGTATAAATGACTCTAGATTAAACTTTTTGAGATTAGGGAGCAGGGATGCAATAAACGTACTTAAAATAAATGAAAGTGTCTCATGAAAATGCCTTGTGAAGATATAAAGATGATGTGTTCCTTGTATGCTGATGGCAACACAGAGTCGAGCAGAGGGTGGATGCGGTGCCAGCCCTCGTAGGTGGACGTGCCTCGTGGTGCCCATCACGCTGTGGGACAAATGTGTCCCTGGCACAGCACACATGGTGCCATGTTCGATAAGGACAGAGTACGCTGTTTAAAATGTGTGCTGGCTCTGGGTCGTGACTTTCCAACGGCCCACTCCCCGCCTTTGTGACTTGGAGAGCCAGAGTCAGAAGCCCCCACTGGACCCCTGCTGCCTCCTGCTGTAGAGGGCCTGCTCTGCATTCCCTTGACTGACTCTGAACCCGGCACGAAGGGCGTCCCAAGGGCCTGAGGCTAGCCACAGACTGCCGATGTCCACAGAGGGCAAGATGTCAGGTGGGAGAAGACAAAGAACCACCATCAGCTGCATGACTGGCTCCAACGTCAAATGAAACCACTTTACTTCCCATTATGTCCCCACGGGAATTCGCCCTGATATGGACAAGGCAAGGTAGCCTGCTGGTCACATAACAGAGCAGCCCTCAAAGCCAGGAGGATGGCCAGTGCCCTGCACGGGAATCAGCGTATCCAACTGCACCAGTGCCTGGGGTCAGCTGCACAGCCAGGTGGCCACTCCACAGGACGGTGGCTAAGGCCTGAGCTGCTCCCACGGAGCTGGAGGGTGCTCTGCTCCCAGACCTGCAGGAAGGGCTGCCTGCTCACCCACAGGACCTCTCCAGCCCTGTTCCACCAACACCCTGGCACAGGTGTGCGCCATGCTGAAGGACAATGGGAAGCCGTCTGTCCACCACGCAGCAGGCCCTTCAAAGGAAGGCCTTTGGGCAAGCCCACAGCTCCAGACTCCACCAGCTACAGGCCCTGCCTGGAGCGCAGCTGCTGGTCCTCCAGGCACTGTTCTGCCTGCCTCTCCAGGAGTGGATGGGTCAGGTCCTCACGACAGGTGGCCCCACAGCAGCAGGCGGCTGGGGCTGGCCGTGGGCATGGGCCGCAACCTGTCAGTCATTCACGTCACCACCACAGGCCAGCGTCAGCGTACCCAGCGCTGGGCTCTCATCTGGCCCCAGCTAGAGTGGCTCTGGGGTGAATCCACGGGGCCAGGCTTGTCCCACCTGGATGGACTTGGTCCTGCCTGATGACCGGGGAGACTCACAGAGGCCATTCCACGGAGGCAGTGAAGGGCTCCTCAGGCCACGAAGGACCCACGGGTCTGGGGCCAGAGTCCTGGCTGGAAGGTGCTGGGTGCCCCACCCCCAGCACCTCTCTGTGCAGGAGCGCCTTCTCAGCAGCCATCCTGCGGGAGCTGCCGTCCATCCTCTGGGCTGAGGAACAGTGTGCCCAGGAGCCGAGGGAGGGCTGGCCGTGGAGGGAGCCTGGACCCTGGACCCGCGGAGCCTGCACTCTGCAGGTGCTGCTGTGTGGCTCAGGGCTGGCAGGGCTCATCACTGGCTCTAGACACCTCCTCCTCCCATAAAATTGTCCTGTGGTGCCTCGGAAAGCCCCCGATGCCCTGGGCAAAGCCGTGAGTGCCACGCTGTGGCCGGGCTGGCTGTGGTCCGTGCTCTCTGTGAGGGAGGCGGCCTGCCTGCAGCCATACTGTGCTCCTGAGGACCTGCTCCTGGAGGTGCGGCTGGCCCACAGGAGTCCCCCTGGCATCTGCAGTCATGAGTTCTTGGATGGAGGTGCCCAGTCCGTGAGCTGCTGCTTCCCACCTCAGACCAGAGTCTCGGTGGGCGGAAGCCAGGGGACAGAGGCTTGTCACTGATGCAGGGAGACATTTCACCAGCACAGCTGGCGTCGACGGGGACTTCCCAGGCACCTGGGAACCTGGGCCCCGGATGCGCAGGCAGAAAGGTAGACCCCGGGCCCTTGCTGCCATGCAGGGTGGCCCAGGGTCACTTTTGATGGCCAAGTCCAGCATGGGGCAGCAGGACACCCCACAGGCACATGCTGCACACCACAGACCACGCTGCACGCCACAGGCCACACACTGCACCCCACAGACCATGCTGCACACCACAGGCCACACACTGCACCCCACAGACCACGCTGCATGCCACAGGCCACCTGCTGCACACCACAGGCCACACTGTACCCCAAAGACCACGCTGCATCCACACACTACCTACTGTACCCCACAGGCCACACTGCACACCACACACCACCTACTGCACCCCACAGGTCACACTGCATACCACATGCCACATGCTGCACCCCACAGACCACGCTGCACCCCACAGGCCACGCTGCACACCACAGGCCACACACTGCATTCCACAGATCACGCTACACACCACAGGTCACGTTGCACACCACAGGCCACACTGCACCCCACAGGCCACGCTGCACACCACAGGCCATGCTGCATGCCACAGGCCACCTGCTGCACGCCACAGGCCACATGCTGTACTCCACAGGCCACGCTGTACCCCACAGACCACGCTGCACCCCACAGACCATGCCGTACCCCACAGGCCATGCTGCACACCACACGACATATTATACCCCACAGGCCACGCTGTACACCACACACTACCGGGTGCACCCCATAAGCCACACTTCACACCACATGCCATATTACACACCACATACATTCTGCACACCACACGCCATGACACATGTGCACCATATGTCATGTTACACACCGCCCGTCATGTTACTGAACACACTCTGTAACACACCATATGCATGCTGCACACCGCATGCCATAATATGTGTACACCATACACCATGTTCCACACCACACATGCCAGTTGGACACCACATTCCACACTCCATGTTACATACGACATACCGTGTTACACACGCCACATGCAATATTATACACACCCAGCACACGGACACACACACACACATTATATACCATGCACACATGCACACGGCACATACACAGCGTACACACCACACGCACCACAGACACACCACGGACTTCACAGTAATGCAGTCTCACACGTGGAGACATACACACAGTTGTTTAACAGCAGAGAGCATGTCCACCAGAACCCTGCCCTTGCCTCGCTCCAGGGAGCCTAGCCCCTGTCTGGGTGCTGGCCCCTCCTTCAAAGCTCTGTGCCAGCTCGCAGCTCACCTGTGGTGAGGGGCTCTCTGCAGGTGGACAGCAGCTCTGCAGATCAGAGTCGGCAGGAACGTCTGTGCTCTGTGAGGAGGGCCAGGAAGGACAGACACACGTCACACTGGGGAGGGAGCCCAGGACTGGCCCCTGAAGGCTGCAGTGTCCTGAAGCTCTGGCATGGACTGGTCCCAGCACCTGGAGGCCTCCTGGAGGTTATCAGGTGCCTCTGAGCTCACTGCTCATGGGACTCACCAGGAGTGCCCCTGCAGGAGGTGGCCAGGAGCACTGTGGCAAGATGGCCTCAGGAGGGAGGTGAGATCAGCCTCAGGGGGTCACAGAGTGAGTTTTGACCTGGAAACAGGAGAGAGAGACAGTCAGTTGGAAGGTGCAGTGTGGGCAGGACTGTCTTCACGCAGAGAGCCTTGCATGCTTTAAAGGGTCATGTCAAGGCAGGAGGGCCAAGGGCCACAGTCACCATCTCTCTGCACAGCCAGTCCTCCTGGGTGCCTCCCTGCATCTGCCTGTGCTCTACTGGCCAACCACTGGCCACTCAGTACCAGAGCATGAACCCAGTAGTGTCCCTTCCTGCTGAAAATCTTTCAATGACATCAGAACTCCTCACTGGGCCCTCCAAACTTAACTTTAGCCTTCCTGATTCAGACCCTGGATCTCAACACTCACCTCTGCGCTGAGTGTTTCTGGATGGACGCTGGGAAGCCTCGCTGAGCCCTGTGCACTGGCTGCTCCGAGCCTCACGGTGGACGCCTCTTTACTCCACAGGGGCCTGTACTCTATGACACTTGCTAAGACCACCTCCCAACACCTTTCTTTATTACTTCTTTGTCTTCAAAACACATTTCACAAACCTTTGTAATTATTGGGTATTTATTTCTTGATGGGACTTATCTATACAATTCACATTTCCATTGCTAAGAACAGTGCCTCCTACATAGGCCACTCAAAAAGTGTGATTAAAAATTCCAATTGTATGAACTGCATGTCGGTGAGTGGTCATAAACTATGTGGCAGCAGAATGTAGCTCCCCTTCCCTAATCCTGGCCCATGATGTCACACCTGTGAATGTGTCACATTGGGCCTAACAGATGGAATTAAGGTTATTATTGATCAATGACCTTAATATAGGCAGTAGGGTGGCATGAAATGTATTCTTCCAAATTGATGATCACTCAGACTCTCGCAAAGTTTCCTGATTTGGAAACAGAGTGCTTAGGGAAGTAACCTGCTAAGGATGATCTTGAGATGAAGTTAAACTCAGATCAAGGGGGACCTTACACCCAATGACTGACGTTCAGCACTGGGGAGGGAATTGGAGAGGACACGGAGATAACAATGAAGGTCAGACAACAGAGATCAGAGTGGCACTTCCAAAAGTGATGGGATCCCAGAGCCACGCAGCACTCAAGGAGGTGAGTGCAGACCCTCTTCCACAGCTTCCAGAGGCAGCACGGGTCTGCTGATACCTTGTTAGACTCCTGGTCTCCAGGACCGAAACTCCTGCAGTTTTAAGCCACCAAGGTAGTAGAAACTGCTGCAGCATCCCTAGGAAAGTAATTGAGCAGGATCATATGAATCAGCTATGTAAGGCCATGTAATAATTTGAATATTTACAGAAAAATGAGGAAGAGACTTGAGAGATTCAGAAGATAGCCTGTCACTGCTGACTTCAGAATCAAGGAGGTAGCAGGGCTGGTGCTGGGGCTCAGTGGTAGTGCACTTGCCTGGCATGTGTGAGGCACTGGGTGGGTTCTCAGCACGAAATATAAATAAATAAAAATACAGGCCTGGCGTGGGGATGTGGCTCAAGTAGTATCGTGCTCGCCTGGCATGCGCGAGACACTGGGTTCAATCCTCAGCACCACATAAAAATAAAAATAAAGATATTGTGTCCACCTAAAACTAAAAAATAAATTTAAATATAAAAAATAAAGGTCTATCAAGAACTAAAAAAGAACTTTTTTAAAAAAAAATCAAGGAGGCAAGGAGAATAGCATGAGAAAAAAGGAATTGTCTGCATCCTATAAGGGGTTAACAAGTGGAGCTCTGGCTGGGGTGTTCAGGACTCTGTTGAATAGAAGTGATGAAGGAGGGCATCCTGTCTTGTTCCAATTCTGAGAGAGAATGGTTTCATTTTTTCACCATGTATGATAATGTTGGGCTTCAGCTTAGCATAGACAGCTTTTACAGTGTTGAGGTATGTTCCTACTGTCCCGAGTTTTTCTAGGTTTTGAACATGATGTATTTTGTCAATTACTTTTTATTTTTATGTTTATCTATTGGATGATCATATGATTCTTGTCTTTAAGTCTATTGATGTGATGAGTCACATTTATTGATTTCCATATGTTGAACCAACCTTTTACATCCCTGAGATGAACCCCACTTGATCGTGGTGCACTATCTTTTTAATATGTTTTTGTATGCAAATTACCAGAATTTTATTCAGAATTTTTGAATCTATGTTCATCAGGGATATTGGTCTGAAGTTTTCTATCTTTGATGCATCCTTGTTTGGTTTTGGTATCAGGGTGATACGAAAGAAATTAAAGGGATATGAATAGGAAAAGATGAACTCAAACTATCACTATTTGCCCATGACATGATGCTATATATACAAGATTCAAAAAAGCACACCAGAAAACTTCTAGAATAAATTCAGCAAAATAGAAGGATATGAAATGAACACCCATAAATAAATCTCATTCCTATACATCAGTGATAAACCCACTGAAAGAGAAATTAGAAAAACTACCCCATTTACAACAGCCTCAAAAAAAAAAAATACTTGGGAATCAATCTAACAAAGGAGGAAAAAGACCTCTACAATGAAAACTACAGAACACTAAAGAAAGAATTGAAGAAGACCTAGAAGATGGACAGATCTCCCACGCTCCTGGACAGGCAGAATTAACATTGTCCAAACGGCCACACTAACAAAAGCGTTATACAGATTAAATGCAATCCCTATTCAGATCCCACTGACATTCTTCATAGAAATAGAAAAGGCAATCATGAAATTCATTTGGAAAAATAAGAGACCCACAATAACTAAAGCAATCCTTAGCAAGAAAAGTGAAGCAAGAAGCATCACAATTGCAGAGTTTAAATTATTCTACAGAGCTACAGTAACACAAATGGCCTGGTGGGGCTGGGGTTGTGGCCAGCAGTAGAGCACTTGCCTAGCACATGCAAGGCCCTGGTTTTGATCCTCAGCACCACCTAAAAATAAATAAATAAAATAAAGGTCCTATGTCTAACTACAACTGAAAAACTAAATATTTTTTAAAAAATGGCATGGTATTGGCACCAAAACAGACAATGATACAGAATAGAAGACACAGAAACAAACCCACATAGATATAGTTATCTCATACTTTAAAAAGGCACCAAAAACATTCACTGGAGAACACAGCATCTTCAACAAATGGTGCTGGAAAAACTGGAAATCCATATGTAGCAAAATGAAATCGAACCCCTATCTTTCACCCTGCACAAAACTCAACTCAAAGTGGATCAAAGACTTAGGCACTAGAACAGAGAGCCTGCACCTAACAGAAGGAAAAGTAGGCCCAGATCCTCACCATGTTGGCTTAGGACCTGACTTCCTTAACAAGACTCCTAAAGCGCAAGAAATAAAAGTCAAGAATCAATAAATGGGATAGAATCAAACTAAAAAGATTCTCCTCAGCAAAGGAAATAATCAATAATGTGGCAAGAGAGCCTAGAGAACAGGAGAAAACCTTTACACACACACCTCAGATAGAGCATTAATCTCCAGGATATACAGAGAATTAAAAACTGCACACAGACACAGACCAAGGGACCCAGCCAATAAATGGGCAAAGGAACGGAACAGATACTTCACAGAAGAAGAAATACAATCAATCAACAAATACATGAACATATGTTCAATATCTCTAGCAGTCAGAGAAATGCAAATCAAAACTACACTGAGATTTCATCACATTCCAGTCAGAATGGCAATTATCAAGAATACAGGCAACAATAAATGTTGGCAAGGATGTGGGGGAAAGGTGCACTCATACGTTGTTGGTGGGACTGCAAATTGTTGCAACCATTCTGGAAAGGAGTATGGAGATTCCTCAGAAAATCTGGAATGGAACCACCATTTGACCCAGCTGTCCCAGTCCTCAGTTTATACCCAACAGACTTAAAATCAGACTTAAAATATTACAGTGACGCAGCTACATCCATGTTTATAGTAGTTAAATTCATGATTCCAAACCACGGAACCAACCTAGGTGCCCTTCAACAGATGAATGGACAAAGAAATTGTGGTGTATATATACACAATGGAATATTAACCAGCCTTTAAGAAGAATGAAATTATGGCATTGGCCAGTAATTGGATGGAACTGGAAAATACCATTCTATGGGAAATAAGCCAATCCCAGAAAAACAAAGCCTGAGTGTTTGCTCTGATATGTGGGTGCTAATTCAAAATGGGGGTTATAGAAGTATAGAGGTACTTTGGATTAGACAGAGGAGAGTGAAGGGAGGGGTGGGGATATGGGGGTAGGAAGACAGTAGAATGAATTGGACATTATACCCTATGTACCTGTATGATGACACGACTGGTGTGCTTCTACATCACGTACAACTGGAAGATTGAGAAGTTTTGTATGATACCATTTTTGTAGGATATGTCAAAATGCATTCTACTGTCACGTATAGCTAATTGGAACAACAACAACAAAATAAGTAAAGCTGCCCTACAACCTCCAATATGGAATGAAATTCTGCAATATACCAGTGTCTTGTGAGTTGTAGAATAAGTGATCCAGCTTCACTCCCTGGGATTTCTGACCCATGGGCACTGTGAGATGACTGATGTCACCTATGCCACTGTGTTTGTGGTTGGTTGTTTTGTAATGGAAAACCAACTCAAGTCACATAATGGACAGCAGCTGACTGGGAAGTATTCAAAATCAGACAAGAAGCATGGCCATACATATCATCAACTCCTTGTTTACACTGCCCTCAGATCTGGTCCAATTCTACACATCCAATCCAGGTAATATTTCATAGCAGATAAAGAGGCCAGAAGTAATACTCCCACTGAGCATTCCAACTACCACTGGAAAGACACAGTTAAAGTTTGACCTGAGGTTTCCAATGAGCAGCACTTGTGGCTGACATACTTGTATTTCACAGGCACTCACTCTTGTCACTGCATTATGTCACTTGATTTAGACATACACAGTGATCTTAGGACTTGAGGTGTGACGCGCTACGGCAGGGGTGGGCCAAAGACAGGTTGTGAGTGGCCAACTATGCTCTACCTGTCTGCATCCAAATCAGAGGTTGCCCAGAGCATTTCCCAAATTGAAAGAGGGCTGCTGGTATTTTGCTGCCCACCACATCAAAAGAAGCCGTGACATTTATATTACAGTTTACACATCACTAGTGTTACCAATAAACTTTAGACGATTTCCTGTTGGAGACATAAAGACTCTATTGAAAATGAAAAAAAAAAATCAACAAAGATGAAACAAAGATAAAAAAAATCAACAAAAATAGAATATTTTAAAACCATTCATATCTTTGGATTAGACAGAAAAAACTACAGAATAGAGGTATAAACAGTAGGCTAGTAAAGAGGTATAAACAATAGGCTAGTAAAGAGGTATAAACAGTAGGCTAGTAAAGAGGTATAAACAGTAGGCTAGTAAAGCACTGTGCAATATAATTTTATGAAAGAAAAAATTCATTTATTGCACAGAAAAATCATGAGAATGGAAGACTTGAAAGATGCCAATCAAAATGTCAGCCACAGCTCTGTGGCAGTGGGCTGCAGGTGCCTTTCTTTGGGGAATTTTGTACTTTCAAGTCTCTCTTTGATTTGGTGATCATGAAAAACTAAGCTGCAAGTCTGCAAGGTCACGACGAGTCTCCTCTCATCTCGGCCGAAGGCGGAGACAAACTGCTCCTCGCTGGCACTCAACGCGGCACCCAGGTCGCCTGGAGCCCAGCTTCCAGGACCCTGCTGCCGCCGGGAGACCGAGCGGGACCTGCTGGTCCGCGGAAGGCACCGCTCCTTTCACACAGAGCACCCTCCCTGACTGAGCACCCAACCCGAGGCGGCGCTCGCACGCGAGAAGGTGCCGAGCGCGCGCGTCCCGGGCCCCGCGCACCAGGGCCTCGCGGGGAGCACCTCCGCGCCGGCCCCTCACTGCGGGACCCGCCCGCGGGGTTCCGGGGAAAGGGTGGGACTTCCGGCTAAGGCGTGGGGAGGGGCAGCTTAACTTCCGGCGGCGTGCTGCGGAGGGATACTAACTTCCGGGGAGGCCTGCTCTGCGTTCCGAGCGCCGCCGCTGGGGCGGGCGGCTGTGCGAGCCCCTGCGAGGCGGGCCGCTGCGGGAGCTCGGGCCCCCGCTCCGGGTCTCGAGATCTGGGGGAGATGACGTGGAACTTGCGTGGGAAAGTCAGCGTGCCTTGACAGACGTCTTGGGAAGTGGGAGGACCTTGGGAGGGAGATTCGTGCAGAGGCAGGGAAGGAGCTAAGGAGGCCGGGGCGCTGCCTGACTGAGTCCACGGGCAAATCCAAGGTGGAAACGGGGCGAGAGGAGAGTTACCGAGCAGGAGGACGCGGCCTGGGGCCTCGGCGGAAGGGACTTTAACAGACTGAGCTCCGGAACCGCTCATGACCCCTACGCTGCAATGGCACCGCGCACCGGGTTTCAGATGAAAGACTGCCAGGCGTGGTGGCCTTGCCTCTCGTTCCCGCACTTGGGAGGGCCTAGGCAGGAGGTCGTTTGAGACCAGCCTGGGCAACAGGGAGAGTAGATACTAAAGTCTGGAAGAAATAGGTTTGAAAGTTCGGAATTAGGATTTATATCCCTCACCTGCATTTGAGATCTAACAGTTGATGAGAAACACACAAAAGTGCCTCACTGAAAGTGGACAGAATATTTGAAAACCTAATTCACATTTAAAAAAATATTGTGCCATGATCAAAACAGGTAAAAAGATGTACATTACATATTAAGAGAAACACACACAATGCAGTTCTTGGTTTTGTGTGGATAAAACTCAATATGCTTTTGGTATTTGTGCTGAAAAGTGTGACGCGGTGGGTGAAACTACCAAATACTCTGACCTTTTTAGAAAGTAATCAGAAAGACTATGAAGATTGAAAATGCACAGGCCTGGGCTGGGTGGATCCTTGGCAGAGGGTGTGGATGTGCAAGGCCCTGGGTTTTGTCCCCTGCACTAATTAAGATGCACAGACCCTTTGACTTTTAGACACCCTTCAGAAATCAAGCCACCAGAACTGACAATGTAGGTACAAAGACTTGTCTACAAACTCTTCTCAAAAGCCAAGCATAGCCATCAACTCAGTGTCCATCAAGAGAGAATGGGTGATTGAATCAAAATGTATCCATACCATGGAAGTGTAGATGTTCCTAATGAGAAAAAAAATTTGTCCATAAGTAACTAGAAAGTTATCCATGTTATATTTTGGAGAAAACAAAAAAGGAAGGTACAGATGAATGCCTGTGTGTAACTTAATCTCTCAGTGTGAGTGACTATGTGTTCCATACAGGAGGACACCTGTGGCTGCACCCACCCTCGGTGCTGAGTGGCCTCAGGAAGGAAGGTGAGGGGGTTGCACCTTACATACCACTGCTGTGCTTGATGTTCACAAGTGTGTGTGACGAATACAAGTAAGAATCAGGCACTGGGTTCCCCCCCCCCCAAGTAAATGTCCATCTGTGATCCAGGGCGACTGGATGGGAAGAAGGGACCCAGCTGGGTGCTCTGACTCATGGTGGGGAGACCTGAAATGCTGGCACATGTTTTAATCACTCTGGGCCTTGGGGCCTCCAGAAGGTGCCGGAGCAGTTCACAGAAACTCGTGTGTGGGTCTTCCCTCTGCCAGGCAAGAGAGTACCCTCCCTCACCTGTCCTCCCTCTCTGTCCCTGTCTCTGGGCTGCTGCCCCTTGGTCCCCCTCCCTGGCAAGGCCATGGCTCCACCCTCAGTAGAAGAACCTTCTCTGGTGGTGGTGGCAGAGTCCCCCCATGAGCTGTGGCCGGCATGGCACTGGATGGAGGGGCGCAGAGCAGGGCCGGGCTGCTTTGTGCAGGGCGCTTCCCTGAGGGACCAGAGACAGTGCTCCCAGCCTGCTCAGCGGGTTCCCCAGTGAGCTGGGGGGGGGGGCTGCGGGAGGGTGGAGGGGACTGTAGCTGAGAGGTGGGGGCTGTGAGCAGGGGTGTGTGTGTGTGTGTGTGTGTGTGTGTGTATGCATGTCTGTGAGGATTTGAATAAATGAGTTTATTTTATTTGAAATTATATTAATTCTAGATGAAATTTGTTGTTTTTACAGGTTAGGAATGCCATATCCAAACACTTGAATGTTTAAAACAGATGAAAACTGGTTTTAACATAGTTTTTTAAAATTATAAGCATAATACATACATACTTGTGCCCTGAGGGAAGGACATCAGGAAGCATGGAGCATCTGACATACTCACTATTACAGACTGAGTCCTGCCTTGTCTGAAATGGTGTGTTGGAGTCTAACCCTCAGTATCCCAAATGTGCCCTTATTTGGAGACAGGGTGAACAGAGGTATCAAGATGGAATTAGGTCATTAGGGTTGGCCCTAATCCAGCATGACTGGTGGTCTATGAAAGACAGATTTGACACAGAGACATCACATACAGAGAGAAGATGGTGTGAAGAGACACAGGGAGAACAGGGCCCTGAGGAGCCTTGAGGTACAGGGTCATGGAAGTGTAGCTGCTCCCTCTGGTGCAGCCTTCCCTCAGACCCTCAGAAGGAACCGCCCCGGTGAAGGCTCGACTTTGAGCTTCCGGTCTCAGAGGTTGAGCCGTACCTACCCACTGCTTTAAGCCACACTGTGGGTGGTACTTTGTGACTGCAGCCTTAGCAACGTGATACATATTTTGATACAAGGAAATGGGTGGGGTGGGGACTGCTCTAACAACCACCTATAAACATGGAAATGGCTTTGGAATTGGGTAATGGAGAGAAGCTGGAAGAATTGAGAACCATGGCAGATAAAGCCCAGGTTATCAAAAGACACTGTTGGTAAAACATTAATGGAGGTCCCCGTGAGCCCTGACCCAGAAAGATTAGGCCTGCAGGGGAGGACACCTCAGCTAAGAGAGTGCACAGCCTCAGGGACACAGTGGTGCTAGACCAGAGGGCAGATGGCTCTTCCTGGAAGGTCTGAAGTGGGAGGAGATGAGGAGGCCACCAGAACCCCAGGACCCACCCAGAAAATGGGCTAAAGAGTTACCAGCTTGAACATGTCATCCATGAAGGAGCAAGAGGTGTGGCAGTGGGGTAGACCGCAGGGACCCGTGGTACAGTGTGAGGGAGCACGTGTCTCTGTGGCAGCACAGAGCCCACAGGGAGGCTGCAGGAGGGCCTTTTGTGGTAAAGTGTGAGTGAGTAGCCGTTCCTGTCAGCTTCCCTGCACTAGACACATCTCATGGTGGAGGCGTGTCTCCATCTACCCTGATGTGTAGAGACCCCTTGCGTCTTGGGCTGTGGACTGACTCCAGTAAGCTCTAACTCACCCGTGTGTAGACGTAGAGGTGCTCGTGCCGCTCTCCTTTTCCTGTGAGGGTACATGAACATTCATCGGTGAGTTTTCGGCCCTGAGACTCCGTCCCCACAGCCAGCTCCTCTCTTACTCGTTTGGGGAGGGCAGCAGAGCTGCCTTGGGAGGACTGCTCTTGGGGAGAGCATCCTCCCTCAACCACGTTACGAGAGCATGTGTTTTCCTTCCCCTGGGTGGAAGCAGGCACTGGCGCTGGTTGAGTGATGGGTGTTTATGAAACCTTTCTTTATTCCATATCTTGCTCTGTTGCCCAGGGTGTCCTTGAACTTCGTGCCCCATCCTGACTGTGTGCCACCGTGTACCACCATCTTGATGTATCTCGTGAAGAGAGCCGGCTGATTTTTGGGGGTGTGCGCACTCCCCGGCCTCCCACTGGCCACGCTGACCTCAGGCTTCCCTCTGGTGCGGCCTTCCGTGGCGTGGGGCTCTGTGTTTCCAGCCTGCCGAGGCCATCATGCAGCTTTCTGTGCTCATGTGCCATCCGTATCCCCCTGGGTGAAGAACCTGTGATCATTAGCCCAACTGTCACCTGCGTCTTTTTTCTTAGACTCCAGCTCTGTAGCTCTTAGTGAGTCCTGGGTACGACATGTGATGTGGAAATACTTTGTGCATGTCTCCTGGGAATCAAATATTTTAATAAAGCCCGTTTGTCAGTTTTTCTCAGTAGACTTCGATTTTGGTGTTACATTGATGGAATTTTGCTGAACTCAAGGTCAGAAAGAATTTCATCTGTTTTCCTCTAGGAGTGTCACAGTTTAGCTGTGGAGTATAGCATGACTGTTTGCAGTGAGGGTGTGTGGGCGTGACGAGCTCAGTGACTTTTAACTGCAGGTATGCTCGGCTCTTCCAGACCACTTGGCAAACTCATCCCTCTCCCACTTCCATTCCCTTGGTTTAGAGTGAGCTGAGTGGAACTGAGAGGTTGGGTGTGCTCTTCCGTCCTTTCTGTGTGCCTGTCTTCCTGTCAGTGCCACATTGTTCCCATCTGCATCTCCCAGAGCACCATCCTGGTTGCCAGAGGCCGGGTCCTCAACTTCCACACCTACGGTGGGACCGGCTGCCATTCCGCCAGACCTAGTTGCAAGGTTCCAGGGAGGAGGTGACGCAGGTTGCTGAAGGGATGGTGCCCATCTTGAGTTTAAAAGGCTGCCTTCTCTGTGCTCAGCTCGACAGCTCTGGCCGTCTTCCACCACGCAGCAGGCCTTCAAAGGAAGGCCTTCGGAGGGGCTCATGGCTACACCTGGAGCGCAGCTGCTGGTCCTCCAGGCACTGTTCTGCCTGCCTCTCCAGGAGTGGACGGGTCAGGTCCTCACGACAGGTGGCCCCACAGCAGCAGGCGGCTGGGGCTGGCCGTGGGCATGGGCCGCAACCTGTCAGTCATTCACGTCACCACCACAGACCAGCGTCAGCGTACCCAGCGCTGGGCTCTCATCTGGCCCCAGCTAGAGTGGCTCTGGGGTGAATCCACGGGGCCAGGCTTGTCCCACCTGGATGGACTTGGTCCTGCCTGATGACCGGGGAGACTCACAGAGGCCATTCCACGGAGGCAGTGAAGGGCTCCTCAGGCCACGAAGGACCCACGGGTCTGGGGCCAGAGTCCTGGCTGGAAGGTGCTGGGTGCCCCACCCCCAGCACCTCTCTGTGCAGGAGCGCCTTCTCAGCAGCCATCCTGCGGGAGCTGCCGTCCATCCTCTGGGCTGAGGAACAGTGTGCCCAGGAGCCGAGGGAGGGCTGGCCGTGGAGGGAGCCTGGACCCTGGACCCGCGGAGCCTGCACTCTGCAGGTGCTGCTGTGTGACTCAGGGCTGGCAGGGCTCATCACTGGCTCTAGACACCTCCTCCTCCCATAAAAATGTCCTGTGGTGCCTCGGAAAGCCCCCGATGCCCTGGGCAAAGCCGTGAGTGCCACGCTGTGGCCGGGCTGGCTGTGGTCCGTGCTCTCTGTGAGGGAGGCGGCCTGCCTGCAGCCACACTGTGCTCCTGAGGACCTGCTCCTGGAGGTGCGGCTGGCCCACAGGAGTCCCCCTGGCATCTGCAGTCATGAGTTCTTGGATGGAGGTGCCCAGTCCGTGAGCTGCTGCTTCCCACCTCAGACCAGAGTCTCGGTGGGCGGAAGCCAGGGGACATAGGCTTGTCACTGATGCAGGGAGACATTTCACCAGCACAGCTGGCGTCGACGGGGACTTCCCAGGCACCTGGGAACCTGGGCCCTGGATGCGCAGGCAGAAAGGTAGACCCCGGGCCCTTACTGCCATGCAGGGTGGCCCAGGGTCACTTTTGATGGCCAAGTCCAGCATGGGGCAGCAGGACGTGATGGAGCTCCCACTATCTGTGTCAGTAAATGTTAGGGCAACCAGAGGACACTTCTCAAGCCCACAGACACTGTGCTGAGTCCCTTCCAAAGAGTCAGCGAAGCCACTGGACCCTTCAGAAATCCCGGCTCCACCTGCTCAGCCACCACCAGGGACCCCTGGCAGTTGAGCTCCGTGAAGAGCAAGGACACATGGAAAGCAGTCGGCCTGCTGGCTTGTCACGTGAAGCAGAGACACAGAGGCGCAACTCCACAGGGAGGCCCCACACGTGTGCTGCAGACCAGAAGCCACACGCTGCACCCCACAGGCTACCTGCTGCACCCCACAGGCCACCTGCTGCACCCCACAGGCCACACTGTACCTACCCCACAGGCCACACTGCACCCCATAGGCCACCTTCTGCACCCCACAGGCCATGCTGTACCCCACAGGCCACACTGGACCCCATAGGCCACCTACTGCACCCCATAGGCCATGCTATACCCCACAGGCTACCTGCTGCAGCCCACAGGCCATGCTGTACCCCACAGGCCACACTGCACCCCATAGGCCACCTACTGTACCCCACAGGCCACGTTGCACATCACAGGCCACCTGCTGCACCCCACAGGCCATACTGCACCCTACAAGTCACACTGCACCCCACACACCACGCTGCACACCACATGCTATGTTACACCCCACAGGCCATGATACCTGTGCATCACATGTCATATTACACACCACACGCATTCTGCACACCACACGCCATGATGCACACCACACTGCACTCCACACACACGCTGCACACCATACACCATAATATGTATATACCCATGCCATGTACACCATAGCCATGTTACACAGAACACGTTACACACATGCCACTCCATAGTAACACACCACAGAGCACATGCCCTGCCACACCATTACTATACACTCACCAACCTAGAGGTGGGCAGAGGGGCACGGCCGCCAGGTCCTGCCACACAGCACACCTGAGTTTGCTCAGCCCTGGGTGAGGGTGCCACCAGGCAGGCCTACCTTTGGACGCCCCTTCTCTTTGAGCAGAGTCAGCCCTTCCCGCCTCGTGGGCACTTGGTTCTGCTGGAAGCGGGCCTGCATCATGTACTCGAAGGTGCTCAAGTGCTTGGCCACTGCAAGGGGAGGGCAGAGTCACCTGCAGCAGTGCCCGGCACACATCTGCACCTACAGTGGCCTCCAGGGTAGAGGACACCCCACCCTGCCCAGGGAGCAGCCCACGAGGCCAGGACAGGGTACGGCTGTCTATGCCGGCAGTGGGAGCCCTTGCACATCTCATGGGAGGGCCTGGACTTTCAGGGGCCCTGCTGCCCAAGTCTGGGCCCCAGCCCTATCCAGCATGTTGAGGGATGTCAGCGAGGACCTCCCAAGGACCTCTTGTGCTCCTCTCCCTGCAGCTCGAGGGGCTGTTCCGGAAACCCCTGTGAGCCTGGTGGAGGCCAGAGGGCAACTCAAGTAGGGCAGCGCCATGCCCACCTGGCAGGAGTGCCTGGGGGGTTCACTGCTCACAGCAGATGCGGTCACATGGCCCCCACCTGCGCTTCTTCCTGAGACCTGGGCTGTTGTGCCTGGGTGCTGAGGGAAGGCTGGGGCAGTGCCACCAGTCAAGGAGCCAGCGGGCCGGAACCCTGGGTCGCCTCAGCCTGCGCTTCCAGAGGGGGCCTGCCCATTCCTCCTTCCTAAAGCTCAACAGGCACAAGTGCAGGGGGCATGCAGCTGCCCCGGGACATCGCAAGGCCCCACGGAGCGCTGCCGCCGCCCAGGAGACAGGCCCTCCGGGAGGCCTCCTGTGCCCATGCTGTGCTGCAGGGGAAGTGCCTCCTGGCTCTGCCTGCTCTCCACACCTCCCTGGCCTTGGAACCTGTGTCACAGGAGGAGCATCTAAACCTCGCTTGCTTCTCCTCCTGGGCTGCCCTGGTGCCCTCCAAAACTGACCGAGCGCCTGTGCAGCTCCTGGGTCGCACCTGGCCTGGTGAGCTCCACATGAGCATTGCCATCTGATGGTTGGAGTGGGCAGGGTGTGTCAAGCCCCCCTGAGAACCCAAGGCAGAACCCTGTAGAGCAGATGAGCATCCTGCATGTCCTTCAGCACGTCCAGGTGCCAGCGGTCAGCTTGGGCAGTCTTGGACCTGTCCTTGGTCTCCTCCGGGTGTTCTTCCCCTGGTTTGCCTCCGTGGAGCCTCTGCATGGGCACTTGAGTGTTCAAACACTCTGGGCACTGAGCTGCACCTGTCTGCTTCCTGGCGGAGCCTGAGGGCCCCTGCCTCATGAGCTCCCACCTTGCGCTGGCCCTTGATTGGGGGCTGGGCCTGGAGGCCTGTGCCACAGCGAGGCTATTGCCAGGCCACCTGCCCTCTCTCCTGCCTTCCTGATGACCTGCTCTGATGAAGCCACACCAGTGTGTGACGTGCAGGCACACCGCAGCTACATTGTGCGCAGAGAAACCAGCCTGTCAGCCACGGGAACAGGAGGCTTGAGTATGGCCATCCACACACATTGCCAGCTGGTCTGCAGGCCTCTGGGCCCAGAGCAGCCGACCAGCAGGGTCGTCCTGGCCAAGACATATCTCTGTGGCACAGCTGAATACCAGGGTCAGATTTCTTGGATGGACAGCATGAAGGTAAGTCCTGGTCAGTCCTGGAGGAGGGGCCAGCCCCTCGCTGCTCTTTGCCCACAGTCCTCCGTACCAGCAGGGGCAGAGAGGCCCTCGGTGCTCTTCCTGCCTCCGCCCACCTCCATGGGCTGGGATGCCCTGGGCACTCCTCTCAGGGGTGTTCCCAAGCCCTCGCCTGGCCTGGTGACCTGAGCACTGTCGTCAAGGAGGGTCCAGGATCGAGGCAGTCAGAACAGGAACCTGGGGCCCTGCCGACTCCCGCGGGAGTCCTGGAGCCCTCCAGGTGCAGGTGCTGCCCGTGCATGGGCCCTTCCTTGCAGACTGGGCCCATGTGGGTATGCAGGCACTGCTCCTCCTGTGGAAGCTGCTGGCGCGGAGTGCCTTTGAGTGTCTGCAGCTGGTGGGGGCTGTGTGAAAGACCACTGCCTGGCAGAGAAGAGAAGCAGCCAGCACGGAGGCCTCTGCTGGACTCCGGCCCCATGGAGCCACCTCACCTCGTCCAGCCGACATCTGTGGCCTCTGAGTCTGGGAGGGCAGGGACCTGGCGGAATTCAGGAGGGGCAGGGCCAGTGCCCCGAGCTGCAGAGGTTAGGTCTGTTGGGGCGAGCAGATACTCGGGGGCACACACGGCCTGCGGCGGGAAGGAGATCCTAGGAATTCGCGGGACCTGCTTCCCTGGCATGGAGGCACCCAGGGCTCCACATCCAGGCCCTGGAGAATCTTTGGCGGGTCCTTGAGTACAGGAGGAAATTCAAGCTGCAGGGCCAGAGCCCCTGGGTTCCTCCTCAGCCTGACACCCGCACCAGGCGACGTGGCTGGGGACTTCTCGCCCTAGGAGCCTGGTTGGCCTCTTGGACGTCTGGGACGCAGAAGCGAGAGGGTGTTGTACCAGGCTCTCAGGCTCCAGCCCAGGCCCCTTGCTGTGGGCCGGTGCTCTGGGCCGGGGTGTCTAATCTCGGCATTCCCATGGGAAGGGGGCACGCTGCTCCGCAGGTCCCTTTGGGCCCCTGGCTGTGTCCATACCCAGCACCACTGGCTTTCAGTGGGCCGCAGAAGTCCACCGTGTTCCCGGGGTCCTGCTCCCCTACAGAGACCTCCTATCCTGCAACAAGCGGAATCTAGTGTCCCGCAGTGCCCATCAGGCTGGGCCCACCACTCCAGAGGCACCCCCGGCTCTCACTGCCTGCCACAGGCGGCCTGATGCCTACTGGACGTGCCCAGCCACCTCCTCCCACCTTGGCTGGCACCATCCACACACTGTGTGCATCTCCTGGTCCTTATCCTGTCACCATGGCACAGGTGACCCCACACTTCCTCCACAGCAGTGCCCACTGTGCTGGCACACAGTGGCCTGACTCATGCTCACCATCACAAAGCCACTGGGCACTTGGGGCTGTTATCCTGCAGGTGTAGAAAGGACTCCAGGCCTGAGAGGACCTCGGCATGCAGCCCCAGCTTCTGGCCCTACCTGGGGGTCAGGAGTGAGCGGTGTTGGTCAAGAGGGGAATAAATCCTGGGTGAGCAGACTCCAGGAAAGACTGCAGTCAACGAATCTGAAAGCACTTACACAAAAGATGTTTCTAGATGGTCTAGAAAGGGGTGTGTCCTAAAAACCATTCCTAAGGTGGCCCGAGGGACTGCCCTTCCTCCAGAGATCTAGTTGCAGAGAACATGAGGTCCTCTGGAGGGCTCCATGTTGATAAGACAGCACATGTCCCTGGCGGACCTGCCCAGTCCAGAGGGGTCAAGGGTCACTCTCCTCCGGCAACACATACCTTCTGTGTACCCCACTGACCTGGCCATTCCCAGTCAAAGCTCTGAAAACAACACATTCTGGCCCCCACAAGACGCAGTCAGAGGGTGACGTCGAGGGCAGGACAACAGTGCTCCAGGCTTGGGGCGAGATGTGTTACCCGCATTCTCCTGGGTTGGGACACTATGGGGCCACCTGTGGGGCCTCCCCTCTGCCAGGCACAGGAAGGGTGGCAGACACAACATGGTCAAGGTGAGGCCCAGAGCCTGGCCTGGCTCCACCTCAGAGCAGGCATCTGTCGGAATGACACCCACTGCCCCGTCTCTCACTGCCCAGAGAACAGGAGGCTCCTGGTGGCAGCATGGCAGAGTGCAGGCGGTGCACGGCGGCCTGGCTCTGCACGCCCAGGGTCCTCCAGCTGTGTCGGGGAGGGGGCTGTGCGGCCGGCTCGGCCTCTCCTTGGTAGGGTGTCTGCCTCCACTGCTCTTTTCCCGTCCTGCCCTTGCGAAGGTGCTGCTCCCCGTCTCTGCACATTTCTGACTTGTCTTGACGCCTCGGCAGAGTCTAGCCCTTCACAGGCCTGCTGAGCCTCCCTGGCCTCCTTCCTTCCTGTGACCCACCCTGTGCCCTGGCTCCTTTCTGGCAAGGCTGCCCAACGCACCACCTGCCTCGGGTCAGGGAAGGCGAGCGCCAGGGCCCTGTCAGGTACGTACTCAGGTAGAGGTGGAAGACGAGCAGGTGCCCGAGCAGCACGAAGCTGGTGGAGCCCAGCAGCAGCACCACTGTGAGGATGAAGAAGACCACGGGGGTCTTCACCTGCACGGGGCACAGGGGCAGGAACAGCAGCCACTGGTTGGAAGACCTGACATCTGTGGACACAAGGGAGGCACTTGCAGCCAGCGCCTGCTGACCGCTGCCCACCCAGCCCAGGCAGGCCCCCAGGCTGCGGGCCACCCCTGCCGAGGGCCCTGGGGATCTGCAGGTGAGGCTGAGAGAGGAGACAGCCACCTGTCCCCTAGCACCTGCCCTTCCCACAGGCCCCGGGCCCCTCTGTCCCTGGTCAACCTGGCAGGCCACAGCCCTGCCTGGGGGCATTTCCCGGGCAGGGCCTTCTGTGAAGGGCTGCCAATGCCCAGAGCCACGCTGTTTTCAAACTCAGGTGTCAGAGAGTCCTCAAGGGCTGTGGGTACAGCTGGGCAGATCTGGATGCGCAAGGTGACCTAGGTCAGGACTGGACTCTTTCTAGACAGGTTCCAGCCTGTGCCATCTGACAGGGAAAGCCCCTTGCTGCCTCATGGACAGGTGGGGACGCTTGATGCCAGCCCACTTGTGTCCAGCACTGGCATGATGAAGTCCAGTGTATGGGAGGCCATGCCCCACGGAGACTTCTGGAACAACGAGCCAGGAGTTTGCCTCAGCCACGCACAAGGAGCCGCCTGGAGCGGCCCAAGTGCTCCCTGAGACACACCACACCCAGTGACCGGGCAGACCCACGGCCACGGCCCCTGCTCTTCCCCTCGCAGCTGCCTCGTGCCCCACAGGAACAAGGCTGATCTGTGGTCTGGAGGACCTCTTTCCCCAGAGGAGAGAGCATCGTGGTGGTTCTGGTCTGTAGGGTCAGCCACCAGGGGAGGCAGCTTTGGGAAGTCCTGGGCGGGGAATGGGGACACAGAGGCCGAAGGCGTTCCCTGGACCTCAAGGTCATTCCTGGAGGGTGTTCCAACACGGTGGCTCAGGAATGTTTCAGAACGAGCAACAAGCAGGTTGTGCCCCTCCTGCCATAGAGCTGGTGTTCCTGTGGTGCCTGGGGCTGAGATGGCCAGCCACGCTCTGGCCCCACCACCATGCTCCTGGTCAGTGTCCTGGGCTGTTGTGACAATGACCATAAGCTGGTGCCCCCTCTATCGGGCCCACTTTGGAAGCAAGTCTGGAATCAGAGTGTGCTGAGCTACATTCCTCCAGGCTCCCGGGAGGTCCTGCTCTGCCCACTCTGGGGGCTCTGAGCCCTGGGTTGGTGGCCACTTGCTTCAGCCCCCACCTCCATCTCCTTCTCCACAGGGCCTGTGTGTGTCTCCTCTTCTGTCCCTCCAGGCCTGATCCTGGGTTTGGGCGCGCTCCTCATGGGCAGACCCTGACCATGTCTGCCAAGGCCTTCCTCTACACACGATGCCCTCCTGGTCCTGAGGTCAGGACGTGGGCGTGTGTCAGAGGCCAGGCTGGCCTGCTCATCTCATTTGCTCCAGAGCAGACTTCTGCACCCAGCCTGGGCTGCCAGACCCACCCAGTCCAGTGCTGCCCCGGAGCCTGCAGCTCTGCCTCCCTGGCTGCTTCTGCTCCTGGCAAGACAGGCCCCTGATGCTCTGCCCCTCAGAGTCTGGCTGGCCTGGGCTCAGTGCTGATGGAGAGGTGCCGGAGGGCCGGGGCACATACCCACCCTGCCTGGACGCAAGGCCTCAGAGCAGCACGCCTGCCCCCTGAGCACGGGGACATCACTGGCCAGAGTGTGGGTGCTGGGCTGCTGCTCAGCTAGGGAGACCTGGGGGAACGGGGGCACCCTCAGACTGAAGACTCTCCCAGGAAGAAGGCTGGGGCAGGGCTTGGCCCAGAGCCCAAAAGCCCGGGAGGCCTACCTTTGTACAGGGGGTCCGTGCGGAGCTTGGTGGGGTTGACGAAGTTCTGGATGACAACGTACAGCAGGAGGACCATCAGGCAGAATAGCCCACACAGGGCTGAGGCCACAGAGGTGAAGAAGAACCTGAGGGAGGAGCCGGGACGGCTGAGGCACCACCGCCAGGACCTAGCCAGAGCCGCAGGCCTCCCGCAGCCACGTCCGCCCGGAGCAGGCGCACCCAGAGCCAGGCCGCCTGCCACTGGGCATCCCTCCATCCATCATGCCCTGGTTCTTTGGACCATTCTTTCAAGTCTGCAGGCTGACATCACTGGCTGTTGTGACACTGGTCATGCCCCATGCCCCCCACCTGAGCCTCTCTGTGTCCATCCTGTTGCCACGGACAGCAGAGCCCAAGGCCTTGTGGAACCTCACAGCTGCTGCCTTCCAGAGCGTGTCCTTCTCACTGCCCGTCCTGCAGGTGCTGTCCCTCTGTCCCTTCCTGCCTTGTGCCTGGGCTCATCCTCTGCAGGCAGTCTGCAAGGCCACGTGCTCTTTCCTGGGCCAGGCGTGTCCCCCTCCTCACTGCTGAGGCACAAGAGCATTTCCCAGAGCCCTGCGTGTTTTCTATCCACTTCAGGGGCCAGGTGACATTCTAAGTGCCACTGTTCTCTTGCTTTCCTGGCCTCCAGGGGATGAAGGGACAAAGAAGCTTGTGCCAGCATGGGGCCGGTGCTTCCCCAGGCCCTTGCCTGCGTGACCTTGAGCTGGTGCTCACCCTGGTGTCTTCTGAAGAGCAGACCCTCCCTAGGCCCATGTGCTGGCTCTGCCCCATGTGCTGGCCTTGCCCGAGGCCTCTGCTGTGCCAGGCTGCTCAGGCACCAAGGGGTGCAGCCCGCCTCTGCCCTTGCCGGGCAGCCCCTCTCAAGGGTGCAGGTCAGGGCCTGTCAGGCCCATCCCACCACCTGGCTCCACCACTGCTGTAGTGCGGGCCACTCAGGGCCCACGTCTGGGCCTGGCATCCCTGCACCCTGGTGCCTTGCAGGAAGTGGGACCTGAGCTCACAGCTCCTACTGTGGCCGGTGTGCTGCCACGCCGCAGGGCTGACTAGAGCCTTGTCTCCCGCGTTAGTCCAGGGTGGCAGGCACCTGTTTCTTCCCAGGGACGGTCATAGACTGCCAAGCTGATATCCACCCTGGGCCCAGGCACAGCGGACTGAGCACGCCATGGACCCTCTGTCCAGTGACCCAGGAGCACCTCCATCCTGCACCTGGATGCTCTTTTCATGCTCCAGGTCTGGCCACCGCTCCTGGGGTTGATGCCTTGGTGTGGAGAGGTGGGCAGGCCTAGGGAAGCAAGCAGGTCTGGGGGCTCTCTGGTGACTAGCCTTGTGGGCATGAGCTGACCCAGCATGTCCAGGACGGCTCCACCAAACATGTTCCAGAACAGTGAGACTCAGGCCCTGAGCTCTACCCCGCCGGGGTCAGGGATGTGGCCCTACGATGGCCCTTCTCCCTATGGTGCCCCAGGCCCGCCCCCAGCCCGCGCCCACGTGCTGGCCTCCACCTGGTGATCCTCTGCCAGCCTCACCAGTAGTTCCTGCTCCCCACACAGTTGTTGAGCCATTTGCAGTGGTGGTCGAATCCAGAGACGCACTTGTTGCAGGAGCTGCAGTGCTTGGCTTTCTCGCTCCTGGAAGGGAAGCAGGAACATGCTAGCCCAAGGGTGCAGACCCACAGGGTCAGGGCCCACCTCCTCAGGCCAGGCAGGGCTGGCCCAGGAGAGCTGGCTCCATGTGGTCTGGGAACAGGGTGTGCAGCAGGGAAGGGAGGCTGAGGCCTCCACCTGGAGTCAGGAAGGGCACTGGAGGCCTGTTGGGGATGGATCATTGCTGGACTCTGGCTGCAGAGTAGGAGGAACCCACCCAGTGGGAAGATGGCTGCCCCTAGCAGCCCACGTACGTTGATCCCTGATTCCCAGCCGTGCTCAGCTGCCTGGCGAGTGCCTGGCAGAGGCCACACCTGCCACACGGTCCCAACCATGCCTTCTGAGCTGCCCCACACCCCACACAGCCGTGCCATCTCCCGACACCGGTGCCCAGGGCCCTGAGACCTGGGACACTGGCAGGCACAGCCGTGATGGCCACCCTCTTCCCCAGGGGCAGGGCTCCTCTGGAAACCTGGGGAGGATGGGGAGGACAGCACTGAGTGAGGGGTGAGCCAGGCTTGAGCCCCCCTCCAGGAGCCCCAGCCCTGCCTCTGGATGCAGGGACAACGGAGCATCAGCCCCATGGTGAGCTGTGAGGAATTAAATGCAGCCATCCAGGCACGGCAGCCCAGGCCAGCCCCGCCCCAGCCCCCGCAGGGTCAGCTACTGTCTCGGAGCCCAACCCCAGGAGGTGGCCCTGGCACCTCAGGGGCCTGGCAGGGCACTCACACAGTGACCTCACACAGGTGGCAGTACTGGTTCTGGATCACGTGTGCATGTTTGGACCGGTCGAAGGTCGGCACAGGCTGGGCATAGCTTTTAAGTCGCACGTTGACTTCGGCGGGGTCAATGGTAACAGCAATCAGGTGGACCAACATGTGGAACAGGAACACGGCTCCCATCACCTGGGCTGTCAAGGAACACTCGGGCTGGCCTGGTCCGTGTGATGCAAGGTGTCCCTGCAGCATGGCTGGTGGCAGGGACAAAGGAGGGCCCTTTGGACTCCTTTGTCCAGCACTGCCTGCAGCCTGCACCTCTGGCAGGTCCGCAGAGCACACCCAGACCTCCAGGGGCTCGGCTGGGCTGCAACTGAGCCTGGGGCACACATGTGCCGAAGCCCCCATGGGAGCCAGAGCCTCGCAGGGCTGCAGGAAAGAGGCAGCCCCAGCCCAAGGCCCCGGGGGCCTCTCAGCAGTGCAAAGTGGGGCATGGCCCAGGGGACATCTGCTTGCCAGAGGCACTCCAGCCAGGCAGCCAGGACGAGGCATCCAAAACCAGCCTCAGCTTAAGTGGAGGGGGCTGGGCCCCTGAGGACCCCTGGGACCCTCAGCTGGGCCCTCAGATCCTACCTCTTCTGGCCCAGGAAAGCAGACAGAGGGCTGTGGAGCGTAGGGCTCCCATCTCCCTGCTCTGGCTCTGGCCCCTTCCCAGACGGAGGCATGGAGCCCCCAGGCACCCCCAGAGGGAACAGGTGGGACCCTGTCCAACAGGCTACAACAGGCAGGCCACCCTTTGAGCCCAGGCTTTGAGCCCAGGCCTGAGTCTGCTGCAGGGACCTTAATAGCAGAAGCCTCTCCAGCTCCTTCTTGGGGCTCAGGGTCTACGGCCTGGCCCACGGCCCTCAGCTCTATCACAGAGCCCCATGGGCTCCGGGGTAGGCTTTGTGCTGGGGACGCTTCCCATAGGGTTCTGAGAGCCATGCTCCGTGGTGAGGACTAGGCGCAGGAGAAGCTGGTTCTGACCAACCCGAGGCAGGCCCAGTGCCGCTCTGTCCCGGAGCTGGGACAGACTCTCACAGATGCCCTGAGGAGGGCGGGGCAGAGCCAGCAAGACAGCAAGAGGGTCGGGCAGCATGCCCACGAGGAGCTGGACAGCAGGTGGGGAGAGGATGAGTGCTGGCCAGGCCCAGGGAACATCCGCAGGCAAGAACACGGGTCCCGTCAGGCTGTGTGACAGGCACAGAGGTCTTTCCCACACTACTCTGACCCCCCAGTGCTGGGGTGAGGCCAGCACCTCCCTGCCCTGGGCAGAAGAGTCTGAGGCTGTGGCTCCCACAGGGTGAGGGTCAGTGGGGCAGCAGGGTCAGTGGACCAGGTGCGGGGCTGGCTCTCCTGTGAAGCTCTGACAAAGCACAGCCCAGCATATCCCTGCAGGCCAAGCTGAGGGCAAGAGGTGCTACTGCAAGACCCTGGTGGCTGAGGCTCAGGGACAGACCAGACAGGAAGTCGCACTACCTGGAGCTACAACAGTCCTCACCTAACTGGAAGCCGGTGAGCAGTTGGGGCCGGGCAGGGAAGGCAGGCAGGACAGGTCCCACACCAGACCCACAGCCTCATCCCTGTGAACACACGGGCCTCTGTGGGGAAACAGGAGGCTGGTCCCCTGAGCCTCCAGGCGCAGACGCTCGCACCCAGCCTGCAGGTGCTGTGGCCAGGGCCACCCTGACAGAGTCATCTGGGAGAGAAGGGGTCCCGTTTCCACAGGGACCCGGGGCTGCCAGGACAGAAGCGGCCCCTGGACGTGCCCTCTGGGCACGAAGCCATTCATGGGAGGAGAGCGCTGAGGCTCACGTTCCCGCGTGCTGGCAGGCCCTGCCTGCTCATCAACAGGCTTGGCGCAGATCCAGAAAAGCACATGGTCTGGGGTTGTCCTCTTGTGACATTCATGTCACCCACAGGACTGTGTTGGTGACCTTAATGGATCACATAGTGATCAGGAGGGCCTGGCTGCCTACTCTCAGCCACAAGCTGGGGAGCCACCCAGGGGCGAGCCGGGACAGGGAGTACCTCCAGGGCGCGGGGCTTGCCTCTGCTCCTGCCCTCCAGCCACCCCCCAGCAGCCTCAGGCCGAGTGGGGAGTAGAAGGGAAAGAGTGGGGACCCTCCCTCTCCTGCCAGGGCCTCCCCTGCAGTTTCGGCCTGGAGCTGTGTGAGCCGTGCTGGAACATTCCCTAGCAACAATCTGTGTTTGGTAAACAAACAGCGGAAGGGCGCCAGCCCAGCACACACGCCCTTCGCCCTGGCCACTGACCTCTCCTGTCCTGCTCTGCGCAGGAAGAGCAGCGTTCCCAGCGCTGGGTCATGTACTGTCCCCCTCCAGCAACCATAGTGGAGCTCTCAGGCTGGGGACAGGAAGCCCGAGCCCACTGCCACCTTCACACTGCCCGCCCCAAACATGGGCTTTGCAGACGTTTCTCCAGATTAAATACAGTCCCCACCCCTCCACTGGTGCCCCTGAGCCAGCTGTGCAGCCCTGGGGCCCTTCAGGTCGGCCGGCCTCGAGCTCCTTCCAGAGTGGGCTGCCCCCTGCCTCTTGCCCTCTCAGAGTCCAGAGTAAACAACGCTGGCGCCCCCCTGTGGCCACAGCACAGCACCAAGCCCTGTGGCCGGAAAACTGGTTCTGAAGGCAACCAAGCCCTAGACAGAAGGACAGGGACGCTGCAGGACAGAGATCTGAGCCGCCCAAGGTGGGGCCCAGGCTCCTTGAAGAAACAGAGAGGTGGGCTGCAGAGGCCCCTCCAGAGAGCTGCAAGCCCCAGGGCCACAGCGGGACAGTGGGCCACCAAGGCGCACAGAGGAACCACAGGTTGAGGGTCAAGCCACGCTGAGCCCTGATTCCCAGCTCATGAACGGGGCCTTGCACAGAAACAGGGTCTCAAGATGGTCAAACAAGGGTTTTAGAGAAGCCCTGCAGGTCTTCTAAGAAGGGGGACAGGCCAGAGACAGACCCACAGGGGCCAGGCGACCTGAGGACACAGGGAGAGGCCAGGGCCTTGGGATGGGAGAGAGCTCAGCCCTCCTTCACCCTCCCGTCAGCCATCTGTAGCCAGAACGGAGGGACACGTCTGCTGCTGGTGTGCCTTGCAGAGCCGCGGCTCTCATGTGAGCCTTGCAGAGCCGCGGCTCTCGTGTGGCCCTTGCAGAGCCGCGGCTCTCGTGTGGCCTTTGCAGAGCCGCGGCTCTCGTGTGCATGGAGCTGGTAACACTGGAGGCAGAGGCCCAAGAGGCAGCACAACCGTGAGGATTGGAGGCCCTCTTGGCAGGGTGTGAGCTGGCCGAGGTGGGCAGCCCCCAGGACTGCAACCAGAGGGGGCTGTGGGTACAGAGCGGCACACCCACCGTCCTAGGTCTGATTCTGTCCACTCTCCCTAAGAGCAGTGGTGTCCCCACTGAAAGTGCTGGCCCTGTGTGCATGGCTCACAACTACCCTGCTGCCTTCTGCAGAAGCTGCTTGGCCTCCACCAGGCAGGCCACAGGTTGTGCAGCCAGCCTGGATGCCCAAAGACCCGGGGTCAGGGCAAGGCCAGCAGTGGCCAGCAGAAGGCAGGTGTACTGGACTCCAAAGACCAAGAGGCTCTGTGATCATATTCAAGCCCGAGCCCTGGCCAGATTCTGGGCTAAAAGCCCGGCAAAGGACATGGGGGGGCTTGCAGAGGTCTGAGATGGGCTTGGAGGGTCACGGGGCCACTGGCTGCTTCTCATCGCAGCGAGACCCGGTTCTGTGGGGTGCTCATACCTGGGGCGTCCTGTGCAGAAGCAGGAAGGTGAGCCGGGGTGGCGACCATGGCATGGGAAGCATCCCCATGCTCAGCATGCACAGGAGACCCAGGAGGCCACACTGAGGGACATGGAGATCAACGGTGTGGTCTTGGGGTCCGTGGAACTCTGTGGGAGGCTCTAGGTTGGGGAGGCTGCCCAAGACAGGCTTTCAGGGTCTGAGGACTGGGGCAGAGGACCGGGGCGTCAGGCCACAGAGGACATTCTCCAGGCCAACAAGACCAGAGTCTGGGGGATGCCACAGGAGGCAGGAGGGCACCAGGTTCTGCGGAGGGCACAGGGTGGTGGGGAGGGCCACCACCAAGAACTGAGATCAGCCGGCCCAAGGCTACGGAGCACTCTGTGTCTGCAGAGCAGGACGGGCAGCCACACTTTTCAGACCCTTCCTCAATGATGCCTGAGCTCCACACGCATGTTCAGGCGTGGTCAGGGTGCAGCTTCCTGGGGCCCCGTGCTGGTGACTTGGCAGGACCCAGGCCTCCATAAAGGGCTCCCCTGGGAAGTAGGTGCTGCTGCCCACCTCTCTGGGGTTCTGGGAGTGGGGATGTGCAGCTGCCCACTCTGACCAGTCAGGGCCACCCAGGCAGGCTCTGGGCAGCCTCTATTTCAAATAGAAGTTGAAATCACAAGAAGGACCAGAGGGACGTGCACTGTGACCTTCCTAGCACCTCTGGCTGGAATGCAGCCTCGGACCCTGGTAGGACTGACAGCCCCCTCACCCGCCCACTCCAGAAGTGCAGGTGGCGGGGCCTGGTGCTCAGGGAAACCGTGGCTGCAGAGGGCGTCCCAGACCCAAGGCAGAGCGCCAGGTCTGGGGCGGGCAGCATCTGAACTCGAAGGAGAGCTTGTGTGCACTGCAGGTGTGAGCGCGTGTGCACTGTGTGTGCCAGCTCTGTGTGCTTGTGGGGAAGCCGCAGCTTTAACAGGACACGTCCACCCGGGTGGCCGAGTTCCCACCTTAAGATGTGGAAGGAGGGGCACAGCAAACCCGTGGCCCGCTGAAGAAAGGGCAGGCACGGGACGGAAAGGAACGGTCCCCACGCTGGTTCTCCACGAGAGCCACAGAGGTGGCAAGCCCTAGGACAGTGCACGAAGACAGGAAGGAGGGGCTCGTCACCACACGAGGAGGGACCGCCACGGGCCCAGGCTCTGCAGCCTGTTCACCTGACAACTGAAGGAGCTGCTGCAATTTCCTGAAGAATCCCATGTGCCACCGCGGACAGAGGTGGAGCAGAAAGTCTGAAGAGCAGACTACTACAGAAACCGCCAGGGAGCACCCCAGGCCACCGAGCACCACTCAGCAACCACAGTCCCCAAGAGTGACTTCTCAGAACCCCCGGCGACGTGGAGGAGGTGCACCAGAGGCACTGTGTGGGCTTCCACAGGACGAGCCACACGCTGTGGAAAGAGAGCCCCGTTCAGCTGGGTGGCAGCAGCCCTGGGCGACACTGCCCCACGCACAGGGAGGAGCCAGGCGCAGACCCCAGGGCGGCCTCAGTGCTGGGAAGAGGCCCACTGCACACACTCTGTCTTGGAAGCAGGGCCCCCACAGTGGGAGCTTCTGGAAAGGACACCCAGAGGCAGAGCAGACCCGGTGCAGGGGAGCTGGGTCCTGGCCCGGCTGCATGCCCAGGTCCTGCCGCGCCTCCTCCCTGCCCACATTCCACACCCTGCGTCTCTCCCTTGCCAGACCTGTGGTGGGCAGCCAAAGCAGAGGGCCGCATGAGTCGATGGTGGCTCAGTGAGGGCTCTAGCACCCAGCCATCAGGTGTGTCCCCCAAGCAGGCCCATTCCGCCCCTGTCCACTTGTCCTAAGGTCTCAGTGAGGGGGCGGGGCTGGGGCTTCCTGCCAAATGCCATGGTCAGAGGCCTGACAGACCATTCCCATTCCGACACAGTGGGGAGGTCAGCCCAGAGATGGACACTCTCCACCTGGGCACAGCTAACAGGCCATCTGTGACTTAGCAGTGGCTTAGCCACAGGTGTCTGACTTCACACACCAGAGCTAGCTATGAGGCAGGGCACTCGGCAGGACCGTAGAGACACCTGCCCGAGGTGCATGGTGGAGCCTCGGGGTCCTGAAGTCCCTTCCTGCTGGCCTTGCTGTCCTTGGGGGATGACCAGAGTGGACCCCTCAGTGTCCTGGGGGAGCTGGCTGAGGCAGGCCCCACCCTCTCCTGTGCTCACCACTCAGTGTCCCCTGCCACCGCAGGCCAGTGGTCGCCTGCCAAGCCTGAGGGTGGGCTGCACAGGGAGCCCCTTGCCCATGGTGACACGGTGCTAGGGCAGCTGGCCTGGCCTGGGCAGGGGCAGAGCCATGGGCGGGCCTGCTGGGGGATGGGGCCTGCTCATCCCCCTGACGGCAGGCGGCCTGGGGAGCCCCACCAGGAGCAAGGATACAGCGTAGGCAGCGAGCTTCCAGTCCAGGGGCAGGAAGGGGATGAAGATCCCGAAGGTGGTGACACACATGACCAGGAAGATGGCCCAGCATACCACCTGGAAGGAGTGCAGAGGGGGCGACCAGCCGTTCACCCTGGACAGGTGGTGCGGTGGGGTCTTCACAGAGCTGCCCAGGTTTTCAGGGACGACCTGCCTCTGGCTCTTACAACAGATGCCCATCTGCAAGACAGAGAGGGGCACCAGGGACTTAGGGTCCTAGCAAGGGCAGGTGAGCTGCAGCACCTCCCACCATTCTCAGGGAGACCACTCGGACCAGGACTGCAAGTAGACACCCCGCATGGCCCAGGGTGACTTCAGCAGACTCTGGGGCCTGCTGGTGGGGAGGGGTCCAGCCCCAGGGAAAGCTGCCCCAGGTCACAGCCAGCATGCTCTGGGCATAGCCAAGGGTGCTCTATGAGCTGCCCCACTGGCCGGACCCTGGTCACCAGACACGATTGCAAGCTCTGGGGAAGCCCTAGCCAACGCTCTCAGCCATGAACCCTGGGGCTCATGTATGGACAGACAGGTCCATCAGAGGCCAGGAGAACCCTGCCTCCTCGGTGAGCAGGGAGGGGCAGTCAGGAGCAAACAAGCTGGTGCTCCCTCCTCAAGACTCTAGGTCTCCCTCCTCAGGGACAGGAACCTGGCCCCCACAGAGCTCTGGGACACCACTCTGGAGCAGCCCTGGCAGCCATCAGGGAGGAAGGTGCCTGAGAGGGAGAAGGGACAGCAAGATGGTCCACAGCTGCAAGGTGGCCTCGAGTCACCTGGGTGCCACCTCTGAGGGGCTTCTGGGAACCTGGCCATAACACAGCTGGGCAAAGCCCTTTGTGGCCCTGGGGGAAGCCAAGTCTGCAGAGTGTGGCTGATGCTGAGTGTCACCTGGAGGTGACACTCTGCACGACATTCTGAGTGTAACCAGTGGACAGGGCCACAGGGCCAGCTTCATGGGAGACAGAGACAGGCAGGCAGGAGGCAAGACCAGGCTGTGGGAGCCCAGAAGCAGCCCTGTGGCTGGAGACCCAGCCCCACCCACGGGACAGGAAGAGGTAGGCGAGAGGGAATGTTGGAAGAAGACAGCAGGCGGGTGTGGAGGACCACCACCCAGCGCACTGGGGTCTGCTGGCGTGCGACTTGCCTGGTGACC